GGGGGTGCATCCACTCTCCTTGTACGTCCGAGGGTTAAAATGATAAAATTTGGGAAAAAAAACTGCATCACCTCTAATCGCAGCCACATCATCAGAAGATCCCCTAACGAAATGGATCAAACCATTTGATTTTCCAACCTGAATAACCCCTTGAGTGAGTCTCTCCTAACACTCTGTCTTTAAGGCCTCAAAGTTTTCCTACTAAGCACTTTTACATTGTTTAACTCGACCCTTCGAGGTTTTGCTGTTCGATCTCTGGTTAGTCATTCAAATCCGAGTTCTGATGTGCATGCACGGACAAAACCCTTTTCAAGAAACAAACAAAACGAAAAGACTTAAAACAAAAATGATAACTTAATCAAAATCCCAACTTATTTACTGCCAAGGACTGTGAAGAAGCGAAAAGTTAAAAGAGGAAGGGCATGATACTTAGGGAAATTTAAATCCCGTCAGGGAGACAATATTTTTCCCTGAAATAATCCACGTTTATTATACTTATGTCTCATTGTTTAATTACTATATTTTTCTTACTTGAATTCAGCGAAGGAAGCATAATCGCCAGCATAAACGTGAGCTTTCTTGCTATAGATGCACTGCAGCTCATTTCTTTACAGGAAGAGCTGGCTGGAGGAACACTGGGCATTACTCCAGCAGAACTACTCAACCTTTCTAGCAGTTATGGTAAGGATACTGCGAGTATCACCGAGTTGAAATCAAATGGGTTGTGTTTCATTCGCTCTTTGTACTTTAGCTAAACACCCAACTAAGTGAGTTTGCTGATGCTGCGTTTGGCAGTTTTATGCATTTTCAAATTTTGGCCAACGATGTGATTTTGCCATTTCTTTGCTTAGTTTATTCTAGCAATAATGCTATATCACTAGGGAAAATGTACAAGATAAGGCTAATATTCATGAGTTAATTTGGTTGAATTGGGCAGCTTCTAAGGAACGATTTCCTCTGATTCCTTTAGTTTTGCGTTAAAAAGCTGATCCAAAATCCTGAATACATCATCAATTGTACGTAATGTAAGCTACTGAGTGGTAATCTCCTTTAATTTGGTATCAATAATTGTGCCGTACAAGGCGAATTTAACTGTAGGGCAAACTCTAAAAGAGTAGTGTAGTGAAATAGCCAAAATGATTGAGTATAAAAAGTAGTCAATTAGGATAATAGTTGCTTTAGTTGACTAGAATTGCAGTTACGGATGACTTTACTCTTTATTTTTATTAAAAGTACCAGGCGAGCCACCTGTAATATTGGAAGCAATCAGCAACACCTCCACATCTATAGAATTGAGATGGACAGAGGTTACAGAGCTCTATTCGATGCCACTTTTAGGCTATGTTATAGTCTACAAGAAAAGGAAGGAAAATTTTCGGGTAGAATCCATGAAATCAGTGTTACCAATGCCCCTTGAAGCAGCTGTAGAGGATCTAGAGAAGTTTACAGATTACATAATACGCATCTATGCTTTTACTAGCAATGGTAATGGTATACCAAGTCAAGCTGTCGTAGTACAAACACAGGAGGACGGTGAGTTGTAGGCTAAATTTCCGGGATACGAACCCTTTTTTATGAACATTTGTTATCACGGATGAAGAGTAGAGGCGGCTGACAGAGGAGGGATATCAATGTGTGCCTAAATTCGTTATTCCTCAGTTCCCACAGCATTGTGGTCTAGCAAGGTAGAATTGACAGGAATTAATTAACATATAAAACAGTAATGTACAGGAATTAACAAAATGGGTGGGTGACTTTGGAAATAATGTCACTGTTTTAATTAATATGAAATTGTTCCGTTTTCCTTAGATATCTTTTGGGGCAAAAATGGACATAGTGAGAACTCCTAGGCAGAACTCGGGGTTGTCCTTAGTCTTAGATATCCATGTGCACTCTTCTTCCCAGAGCCTCCTGAAAATCTTAGCTGACGAGGCCTGAACACGACTTCACTACCAGACGCCCTTAGTCTTCAGAAAGAAGAGAGAGAGGAAAGGGTTTTTACTCACCCCATTCGTTTTTGCTTTATTTCTTTTCACTAGTTCCTAGTCAGACACCACCAAACATTATTGTCCAGTCAACAAGTTCCACAACGATTGATGTTTCCTGGCAACCAATTGATCAAGCCTATGTACACGGAATACTCCTCGGATATGAGGTCAGGTTTGCTAAGGATGATGGGTTACCGCTGCTCTGGGAATCGAGACACGTACATCCAAATGCCCGTAAAATAATTTTAAGCGATCTTTGGTACTACTCAAAGTACAAGATAGTGGTTTGTGGGAAGACGTCTAAAGGTTGTGGAAAAGAATATCACGCTATAACTTATACGTGGGATGATGGTAATTATTCGTCTTTCTTGTTGTATGTACCACGAAAATCTTGCTTTTAAACTTCACAGCGATTGTCCCGAATGTGTCCAAATTTAGAAAGATCGTGTGTTAGCATCCAAGAGAAAACGTCGCGGTGAGGACAATTCACGTCGTAGTCGCGCAGTGTTGACAAAGAGATGTACCGAAAAGTGTCTTGTACGTCTATAGTTTTTTTGGCTTGTTCAAGCCTATTACTTTTCCGACATCCTCGTCTCCATCGTTGTCGCTTCTGCTTTAGGGTCCTAATTAACGCTTTTTAAGAAATCAATGGAATCAGTCAACGTTGTCTTAAAAGAAGGTGTTTTCTTTTTCTTTTCTTTTCTTTTTTTTTTAAGTCCCCACCAGACCACCGCAGGGTGTCGTAGCGCAAAACCTTACATCCGAAAAATCGATTAATGTTAACTGGAGTCCAGTCCTTAGTGGCCATGTCAACGGCCCTCTTCTTGGTTATTCTCTCAAATATCAAAGAATCAGGACGGCTGAGAGAGTATTCGAAGATAGAGAGGAACATACACTGACTTTTAAGCCAGAGGAGCTTTCCACTGTCCTACAAGTTGAAACGTATTCTACCTACCGAATCCGAGTGGCTGCTTTTACACCGAAGGGACTGGGACCTTACAGTGACTACGTATTAGCTGGTGAGCGTGTACAAGTTTCAAGACGTTGATGACAGCACTGTTACTGTAGGCTTCCTCGTTTTTACATCAACTATTACTAGATTTCTCCTTTTCTTATCAGTTAATATTCACGACTGCCTTATGCGCTTGTGCTTTATCTTATAGTATCTTTTGATTACTCTTGAAACAGCATATTTTGGACCTAAAAAGGGGCATTTTACAAATGCATTTTAGCACAATTTTCCGCAGACAAATAAAAATAGAAGCCGTGTAATATTTTAAAGCATCGGCTTTCTAAGTATAAAGTATGTCTCATTACGGAGTTTCTTTATCAAACTATAATTCATTGTCAATGAAATGCCCAAGATCTTTTAATCACGCTGACTTTATTTTTCTTTCTTTTTGCTATTAACAGAAACCTGCCGTTGTCCAAAAATACTCTACACAAACTTCTGGGCAACAACGCCATACCTTACGTTTAACAAAAACGATAACAAACTCGAGGGAATATTTAGCGGGATTATCACTGACATGGTTCACACTGCTTGCGGAATTTGTCCCGCGCACGGCGACACCATAATCGACATCTCTAACAACGGGAAGAGCGGACTTTCTGCTAAGAAAGATGTGTTAGAAGTCCTTAAAGACATCGATGATGTCCCAGAAATAAGTTTTCCAATATACCGCAACAAATATATCACCAAATACTTGGGTGCCTACGCTTACATCAATATTGTGGAATCACCCGGGGTAGCATTCCTTGCTGCTAGTAGACCTCCTGGTGGAGCAGCTATGAACATGGTAATGGCAGTACTGCAAACAGTGCCTTTGATTGTGTTGTCAGCATGCATGGCCTTCATGTCTGGATTTATCGTATGGTTTTTGGTAAGTCCTGAGAAATCAGTTGCTATGGTGAAGAGAGTCCTCGTCATTTATTGCATGAGGAGATTTATTTCAGGCTGTAGAGAGCCAAAACTGTCCTGAGCAATCAGAGGGTTACCTAATTAGAAGGACCAAAATAGAAATTTACGAAGCAATAAAGCACCCTCTCTTCAGGAAGGAAGGCCTTCCACAATGCTGGTGCAAGCGACTGAAGCTTACTCCCTCCCCACAGAACTTGGGAAAAATAATTAGAATCTGATTACTTTACTGAAAAATACACCACCACCGATAATGTCATTGCCTTTGCCTTGATCTCATGAATAAAATGGTTTTGAAATCTTGTAATCTCCGTCACGTGCTATATTGTTTGATGTTTTGTAGGTTGTTTAGCCATGTTTAGGTCGATGGACGTCTTGGTTTTTGAAAAAAAAAAAAATCACCTGATGTGACTCAAAATCAATGTGCCGTAACGGAATAATGAAAGCGCTATTCCCAGTTCCTTCCAAAACGTATTGCAGACAATCTCTAAAATTGTCCCATTTCCGTTTCACTGATTCTTGGCGAGCAATTCATGCATACTAAAGAGGGCAAAGAAAAACTGCCACAAGTTGCAAAAACATTTGAGACACTGTCCCTGATTAGGCTTATATGTTCTGCCCATGATCTTGGGCTTGTGATTCCCCTTCCTTCCCTTGTCAAAGTTGCTAGCAGGAGAGAGAGATGGGAAAAGCCCCTTTTCGTTGGGATGTGTCAAAAAATGTTATACTGATTGTAGTTGTTACTAACCCTAAACGCAATTCAGTTATTTCGCTTCTCCTCATTTTCTTAACTCCCTCGCCAAAACCTCCAACACCACCACCACCACCACCATTTCAAGTGTTTTTCCTCCACCACCCCACCTCATTTCTGTAGTCTGTCACCACCATTACAACCACCACCACAACCGTCACCAATTTTTTTTTCCTCCAGCGCCACAACCACAAGGAGGAGGAAAACGGATAACAGCAATGAATGAAGGCTGAAGGAGGAATTCTTTCAGTTCATTTTTTTTTTGCCTTTAAACATATAACATAAAAATCATCTTCACATAGCCCTTTTTAAGACTAAAGAACAAAAATCGTCTCAAGATATTGTCTGTATTGTGCTCTTTGATGCTTGCATTTATTTTAACCGCAGGACTCAAAATTTAACCCTGAAGAATTTCCGCCCAGTTTCTTGAAAGGAGTTGGCGAAGGTTTCTGGTGGTCTTACATTTCCATGACGACTGTAGGGTAGGTATCAACAATTGCATTGTTGTACACCTCAGATGTTCGTCCGATAGTGAGCGTTCTCATTGGTTGCTATAAGACAAACGTCTTCGAGCAGGTGGATAACATTAAGCAATCTTGCACGTTTGAGGGTAACAGCGCACTGATTCTGGTACTCGCGAATGTTGATTGTTACTGTTGGATCACGAAGGTTATTTGTTGGATATAAATAATTGACGCGGTGAGGCCATTGCGCTCCTCCAGGGGATCATTAAGGCTAAATTTACGTATCTTTTTCATTCCTTTTAATTTCTTGACTAAGCTTGCCAGATAGACTACGATTGTTGATGAGGTAATTCTAAGTTTTTGTTTGTTGCAAAATGTGACATAAAACATGGGTGAAATGAATTTTTAATTTCAAAGTGAAACTGATATCATGTAAAAGACATTTAGAATTGGAGTGAAATATCGAAAGCTCTTTCTCGCTACTGTACGTTAATTTTAGCTATGGGACTTCAAAGACATTTAAAAGCAGCCCTCGGGAAAACACTTTTCCTTAAAAAACAATCCCTTTAATTTATTTTTTATTTTATTTTATTTTATTTTTGCAAAATAAGACGATTTCCGGGAAAATAAACCTTTTATAGTTTCCTAAATTTTTATCATTTTAAGGTTTCGTTTCTAGACTTACAAACGCTTGTTTAAGCAAACCAAAGAATGATCACCTGACATTTTTATGACGTCACAAAACGGTTTTCTTGCGGTTTTTGCGCAGTCAGGAATTTCCTTTTTCAAAATTTTCTTTTTTCTTTAGCTTTCGACAATAAAGATCTGTTACGCTTAAATTCAGAATTATTTTACAAGGGAGCAGCCCGTTTTTGAGGTACGAATTTATTAAAATTGAACATTTCATGTCAGTTGATGATATTTGAATAGTTTGTAATTTTGTTTCCTTGCGAGTTAATTCCCTTTGAACAAATTTCGATGTGTTATGACGAGGATAATGGAATAGGTGATACATTATTTGGGGGCTGTTTTGGCGACAAAAGGTGTAAGTATCACCCAAAACACACAAAGAAATATCCTTCAAAAAAAAAAAAAAAAAAAAAAAAAAAAAAAAAAAAAAAAAAAAAAAAAAAGACAAGATAAACAACAACGATAGCAACAACGAAACAAACATGAATACACATCTTTACATGGAAATTAATTAATAAATAAATATACTTAGCGTGAAGTGCCATATTTACTTATATTTGTTGATAGGTATGGTGATCGAGCGCCCAACTCTATCATTGGGCGCATTTTTGGTATAATGTGGACATTAACGGGCCTTGTTATTATCTCCATTCTAATTGGTGCAATCGCTTCGTCACTCACAAGTGTTACTGTAGAGAGGGACGTTATTCTGTATGGTACAGAGGTAAATCTATATGAAAATAAACAAAAGAATGAATAGATAAAGATAAATAATATGAAGTACAACAGCGTCTCGAGTGGCCCTTCGTCTGAGGTGATTTGGAAATGTTGGTTTACTAGGACGGAGGAGAACATCTCGGAGCAAGGAGGATGAGCAACATCAGTCCTCTCATCAAACTAAACCCTTTGGCGACCGCTTGCGAATAGGGAAAACCAACTTTTTAAACTAAAACCTCCTTTTTGGAGCATGCTCATATGCCAAGATTGTGTGATATGCCAATTTTCGAATCTATTTCGAACTTTGTTTCTCGATCTCTATTTCACTTTCCTTTTTTACAGACAGTTTTATCCCCCACTTTATTGCATTTTTCTCATGAAATTGTGGCTGGCTAACTTTCCGGGAAAGGGACTAATTTAATTTGCAGCGAGTAATTGAATAGCAAAATTGGCAGTGGATTTTTCCCCGAAATGTTACTATAAATTTTTTGTATCTAACCCTGTCAGGATTGTCTAGTTTTTCCAAAATGAGTTACCTGTGGACAGATCTATCCTTGCTTAATTAATATCTTAAACTGAAAGCTAAACGGGTCCAGGAAGGCTTAAATAATTATATGCATCGTTCCACATGGAGATGATCGATTGCTCTTCCTTGTATAGCCCTTTTTCACCTATTTAACTATCCCTAGGTCCTTTCTAGCACCATCCACACCATTAGCACAACTGATACTATATGCATAAGAAACACTGAAATACAAAGACAACCAAAGACGTTGAAATTTTCTCAGGTGACAAAAAACTAGCATATACAAATTGTTTTTCTCTCCTTTATCCTTTATTTTAAATATCTTATCTTAGGTAGGAGCGTTACGGGGCTCTGCAGAATATCGACTGGGTGTACTTCACAACGCCAAAGTTAATACAAGTAAGTATATAGTCGCTATGCCGCTGTTTTTTGTTAGTGTGCCGGCTCGCAATTATTGCTGCAAACAGCTAGGGTATCTTAAAAAAATTAACGGACAATTAACAAAGCATGATGATAAGGTTGATTTACACAAGTTTAGAAATAGAAATTTTCTACACTGTTTGAATTGTAACTAAAGCAAAGTAAGGCCATTAAACTCCTTTTCTTTCTGAACTTCACTAGCTTCCAGTACAAAACATCAGAAATCAAATACTGATGTTCATGCCTGAAAACGTATGGCGATCCATCTTTTAGTTCTAAGGCACCTATTAAACTGACAAACGCTGCAATAGCCATAGAAGGTCCATAAATCGCCTTATGTTGCTACCCGCTCATCGGAAAATTCCTTCATCAGAATTATGTTTGCCTAAAAACAATATCTGCCGGTAAAATTTCTGCCTTTCCTTTCTTTTTGGTGAAGGTGTTTTAAAGCGGCAGGAAGTTTAAGAGCACCGTACCTACACTGCATAAGCACTCGATTGCTATAAATTGATATGATTAGTATTAAAATTTATGACGATTATTACTTAATATCATAAATGCATAATTATTATTCTAAATATTATACGACAATTGCAATAGTTGTTTTGTTCTCTGTGTTGCCATGAAATACTTTTGCGTTACTTATGGGGTTTACTATTGGCCTGCAGAACGCCAGTATAGCAATGTGGATGATATTCGAATGGCATTGGAAGATGGGGAAATCCAAGGAGCGTTGATTGACACTTACGTCATCGCTGAGCATAAAGAATCTCTTCTAAGTGACAGAATTTTTGTCAAAAAAATACTCGATCGGCCATTTGGTTATGGGGTGGTGTTGTCAGGAGCTGCAAGGAATGTAGAACTGAGATGCAGGGATTACATCAACATGAAAATCACAGATATATTTCAAATTATTCAGAATACCACCAAGACATTAGATGTGAGTTATTTTAGTAGTGCTTGATTGCTACCGCTTACGGACCCAACGCCTGATTTATGAGAGCTTATACACTCCCGGCCAAACAAAAAAATATATTGTAATAAATAAAAACACGCACATACTCCCCAAAAATTATATAAACGAAAAGCAGATGACCCAGAAACGATGATGATATAGCAAGTCGTGATGAATAATCAGAAAAATAATTACTGTTTACTTACTAGAGAAGCATGTTACTTACATTTAAAGCCATCCGGACGCACATTTTGTTTGTTGCCTCTTATCTTACGGATGGATTTTTTAATGGCCACCACTTGGAAGTGAATACATTAAGTTTCTTCCAGTAATTGTACAGTCTTATTATTCAAAGATGTACCATCCCTTCTTCTGTTCCTTGGCAACTTGCATTTTTTGCGGTTCTTGCTGTTTTTCGACCTAGGCAGTAGCTCAGCTGTTTCTTTTTCAAAAAATTGGTCGCAAAAATGGGCAAACTGATGGGCAAATTTGCATACTAATTTACACGGGCTTGTACGTCAGGAGGCAAATTTGGCATTTACCAACTTTGTCCTTGACTTACTCATCAGCTTGCACATTTTCGGCGGCGTATTTGCCATTAGCAAATGAAGTGGAAATCCATTTTCAAAAAAGCTGAGCTAACACAAATCACATCCTCCCAAAGCTGCTTCGGTTGCCGTGCTTTTTACTGGCAAAAGCGGCTGCACAATTGAAGTCATTAATTTTAACAATTATCGGAAAAAAAAATTCCAAGTTTTGTCGGCGCTAGCGGATTATTAAGAGTTAGATGGGGAATTTGAGCAAGTCAGAAACTGAAAAATATTTTGAATGAACAACACCTGAAAATAATTCTCAATTCGATCAGTTCTTATTGGTTATGAAGAATTAGCAGAGGAATTTGAGCCAATTGGAAAGGGAGAAATATTTTGAATTATTTATCGAGGATATTACACGGTGGCGCGAAGATATGAATTTTATTTTCGAGTGGCAAAACAATATTTTACGAACGAGCGCAGCAAGTGAGTAAAATATTGTTTTTGCCACGAGAAAATAAGATTCATATCTTCAAGCNCCCCCCCCCCCCCCTGAAATGACCTGTGGTTTTCTAATACAACTGGTATTCTGCAAAAGAAAAAAACTATGTGGTTTATTGGTGTTGAAGTAGAGCAAGAGACGAATGCACCCCCTCCTAAAAAAAATCCTGGATCCGCCCCTGATCGATAAACTCACGTGTGAGATTATGGAAAATAAACCACTCGGGTCCCGAATGTAGTTTTTATGAATTTTATGAGCGGTATATTTTCCAGTAAAACACTCGTGTCTATATAATAAAAATAATTATTTGAAATATTTCAAAAATTAATAGTTATTGTTGTTTTATAGGCACGCTCGGCAGATGAAGAGGTCGATGAAAGCACAGGATTGTTTGACAGCTCGTCACAAATGTTTCTTATGTTAGTTGCTTCTCTGGCGGGTACCTTGATAGTAGCTGTCGCGGTCGGCATATCGTATCATATTTGCATCTATGTTCCGAGCAAAAACAAAGGTAAGAATAAAAAA